GGAAAGACGAAGCATGGCCTGCGCCCTGATGCCTACGAGCAGTGCCTGACTAATGCGTATATATCTAGACACTTGAGTTGAAAACACGCACATCCAACTGAGACTCTGAGACTTGTGTGGCATTCTGCATGAACTGCACAACCCCAGCACCCAAGACTGCGAGAAGCAAATTGTTTTGTAACGCTAGCGTATAAATCTGCAAAGTTGATCGTGAACCAAGATCAACCGATTTCAAACTCTTGGGTGGCCATCGCTGACCACCTTGGGCCAAGTTCCCAAAGGCCCTTTGAACAACACCAGCCGGATGCTAAGCATCACTCTCCATCGCTGACAACCCGCTCAAACTCGTCAGTGAGTTTGCGACACACGCCTGCCCCAAAATGAATCAAAGGCCACATCTTTAAAAACATCGCACGTACATCTGAATATCACATTCGTCCTGGTTTCTTCCATCCAGCAATATCCATCGCAATCTGCCACCTGAGAATTCCACAGTGAATGGGTTCAACTCAATGCAAGAATTCCATAATTAATAACAAGCCGCGTTGTTTCAACGCCACGCGGTCTCCAGTTCAATGTGCAGCCCCCTTTGCGGTCCACCTGAGTGTAAACTGTACGAGTCAGGTTGATTTACAAGATCATGATCATTTTTTGCTATAACATGAACCAAGATTCAAGTTGCCCATCCCCGTTGAGGACCTTTTGCACATAGAAGGAAAAGGAGTAGAGAACAACGTTGATCGACTTCGCACCCTCTGTGCACCCTTCTGGAGCTGGAATTGTGTAGGCCCTGGGTCATGCATCTGATCATTTAAATACAGCTTTAACGTTCAAATTCATAATTCCTGAAGTCAGATGCCAAGAAGCTTTCCAGCAAAGTTGGAAGGAGGCTGCAACTCACACACACCACTGCTGACCACCTGCTCCAGAGCTGAACTCACCTTCGAGGTCGGAAGCCGTTTAACAGCGTTCCCCAATGATCCAGCAGGCACGGAAGGCTCTTCAACCTGGGGTGCCATCGTGGGGGAATCCGAGGCATGTGCCTTTGCCTGGGGGGATCTCTTCTTTCTGGATGCCTTCTTCGCTTTGGGGGATGCCTTCTTTTTTGGGGATGCCTTCTTTTTGGGGGATGCCTTCTTTCTGCCCGCTCTGGTCTTTGCGGGTGTCTTCTTGTGGGGGGTCATTCGAACCTTTGGCTTGGGAGGTGCTGGCTGGTCGTCAGCACCCTCAGCAGCACCCTCAGCAGCACCCTCAGCGGCACCCTCAGCAGCACCCTCAGCAATGTTTTTGCGCTTTCTGCCAGCGCCAGTCTTGGGTTTGCCCTCCTGTTTGGCCTTTGCCTTTGCAAGGGCTCTCTCAGCCTTTTTGTGGGCCTTTTGGGCTTCGGCTTCTTTCACTTCCTACCCAAAAGCGATCACAGGAAAGTTCTTAATGATCGATCATGAACTTATCACAGTCCCGTTGTTTACTGTCCTCCTTGTTTTTCCTCTTGATGTCCGCTTGCATTTCCTTCACCTCGTGCAGGCAGCTGAAGCCCGAACCAGCAGGATCAATCGGGTGCGGTGGAGGTGCAACAATTTCTGGTAGTAAAGGCTTTCGGTCCTCCAAGAACTGATATGACTGGTCCCTGTTTGCTTCATTCGATTGCTCGAACAAAACACATGAAATCATCCATGTCCTTCAAATTTGCCCTCACCTTAACATGATCTGGCTCGACTTCATTGCCAGCCGTCATCTCGATGTTCTTGACGTCCTGAAAAAATGCGCACATGCATCATGCATGAACTAAATATTTGGACTCTATTTGCCCTCACCTCAACATGATCTGGCTCGACTTCATTGCCGGCCGTCATCTCGATGTCCTCGTCGTCCTGAAAAAAATGCGCAGACAAAATCACATGAAATATATCCCGGACTATTTGCCCTCACCTCAACATGATCTGGCTCGACTTCATTGCCGGCCGTCATCTCGATGTCCTCGACGTCCTGAAAAAAATGCGCAGACAAAATCACATGAAACTCTAATTTGCCCTCACCTCAACATGATCTGGCTCGACTTCATTGCCAGCCGTCATCACGAGGTCCTCGACGTCCTGAAAAAAAATGCGCAAACAAAAATCAAATTGGACTCTGGACAAGAGTGGCTGCAGTCCAGTCTGCAGTCCTTGTTTCCATCCACTTTCGCTTCAGGTACTGCCGCTGCCTCATGCAATGATCCCAGTAAATTTCATGATCGATCAACGCAGTAAATTGTGTTCAAAGCCGCTTCGACATATAAATCTGTGTGGGGGAAGGGTTGAAGTGATATACGTACACCATGCCTTGCGTTCGAGTGTTTTTTCTTCTTCTTCTTCGTGGATGCCTTCCTCCTGGGGTAATATTCTGGCACGATCGATGTGTTTTTTTGTTTCGTGAACAGGGGACATTGTAGAAGGTGTCTGCGATGGGATCGATGTTGGAGGATCCAGTGGCGACAAATTAGCCCAATTATTGGATAAACAAAATTTACAGCGGACCATTGCTAGCATGAACAATCGATTCACCCGAGCCTCAACTCCTGCTGCTGATGTCGGTTCTGCGGATTGTTCCACTCCTGGTGCTGATGCTGCAGATTCTTCCTGCGGTACTGTATCATTAGGCGCTGCCACTTCAACGATGACGTCGTCACTCGACGGGTCCTCAAATTCAATGGCAATGGGTGAGCCGTAAGGGAAAACAGACATGCACTCGTAGTTGAACTTGCACATGCGTGCGTGCATAGCTAGCTAGTGTGAACCAAGAGGCCGTGGCAGCTTCATCCTGGGGCGACCCTTCTGGTTGCAAAAGCTGGGACTCCTGCATTGCATGTACATGCATCTAGTAAAAAATATGCCAGATCAGTCAGTCCTGGACATCATCATCTCTTGGTTGGGAGTCTGTCCAATAAAGCCACTCTGCCTCATCTGCTGGCTCCGAATCTGGGATGACAATCGGCTGGTCAACAGCCTCAACTCCGTCCCCTGGTACCGGTTGCTCCTGTCAAGAGCAGCTACAAAAAAAGCGCCACTAGTCACAGTCAAGTACAAATTGTGATATTAAACTGGCCCGATTCCTCAGGTGGAATGAATTCAGGAATTGCGCCTATATCAGCTGCACACTTGTGCAGGTAGAGCGCCTTCAAAATAGCAATTTGCCGGGTCCTTGGCACACAAGATTTCTGGGTTACTTCGAACAATTAATTCATATCCCACCTTGATCGTTCAGTGCGGTAGGTGTTGGTGTAAATATATGCAGCCATCCATTTGAGACGGGTTCCCTGGAGGTCCGCCCACTCCTGAGCAATCATGTGTGCAAAAAATTGCTGTTAATTTTTCAAAACACGACCATAAATGCCAAAGATCCTTTGCTTTGCCTTTGCCTCCTTTCTTCCCGAGAAATTCATCTGAGAAGAAGCCGTGAACCATTGCCAAGTAAAGCATGGCAGCCTCAGATCAAAACAAAACATAATCGATCACTCGATGACTGGCACACCCACTGCAATTCCAGCATGATTTCACTAGAAATAGTCAGGCACTCGGTGCTCTTTGACATCAGGATATAGTGGGCATACATCCAAAAAGTAGTGCTTGAGAATCTCGAAGTTCTGATCAACTAGGAAGTCTTCTTCCTTCACCTTCAGCGATCACAAGGACGATGCGAAAACAACTCCAAAAAATGAACGCTACATGCTGCTTTTGTTTCACATATCGGCCTTGGCCTGAGCTCCAATGATGACCACAGGGTGATCCTGACCATCATCGAAGTCAGGAAACAAATCAAGACGACCTTAAATAATTGCGCAATATATTGCTAAAGGCTGAGATTCTGGGTCACTGCGGATTCTTGATGCAACCGGCTGCACTACTTTCTCCAGTGAATCAAAGATCACCTTTGCATTTTCCTGGGCGTGGCAGGTTTTTTGTTTAATATGCAAAATTATTGGTCAGTTGGTGCAGGGTTTAATGCATGTAGCCCAGCCAAGTTGCTGATAGGAAGAACGTCACTGGTTGATGGATGATCCACCCACGCACCCCTTGACGGGTGATCATATCATCCATCGACAACGACCCCATGAGGCTTGACTGGTGAGGGTGGCAAAATGACCACAAATGTGCAACTGCAAAATTAATCATGTCATGGTCAGCCACTGTCCTTTGAGCAAATCACGGCAAATTGCATTTCAGAATCTCAATGTCATGCATGCACTCCACAGAAAACTTTAAAAAATCAGCTTAACGTGTGAACCTTCCATATAGGCAGGTGTAGGGGCACGAACCTGGCTTCTGGGCGCTTTTCTTCACTTTCAGCTGGTTGTTGAAGAGCATGGCAGTGTGACCCGGCATAGTCACGAAAGGTGTTTGACTGTCTGAAAGGCTACCAGTTCCAATGCTCCAGGAGCCAGTTGACTAGATCTGAAGGTTCCATGCATAGAAGTGGGTGAGTCCTTCCAAAAAGATTAGATCATGGATCCTCAAAGTCCCTTGATGACCTGAAAAGTTCTCAAACATAGGTGATGTGAGACAGTCATGCTTGTTAGCCTGGGGGTGCCTCGGGCCAGAAGCGTCGAGTAACGCACTTGGGGGGGCAAGTGAGTAATATGACACAAGTTGCTCATATGACACTTTGACACCAAGTAGTGTCTATGGCAACACTTGGATCCTCTGGGATATATAAATATGATGTACATTGGAGTATATGGACGTCAACTCTTACGACACACAACAAAAACCGCAAAACAAGAGTGCGCCGAGCCTCTAAAGTCCAAACCTTTTGCATGTAAGAGTTCTAAACAAGTAGGGTTCCAAATGGCTAGGTCAGATCACAACTGGCCAGCTCCAATGCCAACAAAAAAATCAATGCCAAATGAAAAGACATATTTCATATTTCCCTTTCTCCGCCGGCTTTCCAAAACTAATAACTAACCATCTGTTTCTTCGAAACCGACCGCTCTGGTCTCTCGACCCGCCGTTGGTCCAAGACGCTGCCGCGCGATCTGCAAGGCCAACTGCATGGCTTCCACGGCTTCCTTTCTTGGGGGGGCCGAACGCGGAGGACTTGGGTCATTAAAAGCAACAACAACAACAACTACTACTACTACTACTACGTACTACTACTACCACTACTACCACTACCACCACCACGACCACCACTACCACTACCACTACAACTACCACTACGACTACTACTACTACTACTGCTGGTACTACCACGTCGTAACATAGATTGTCATAACATGTCAAAACGATGACCATATCGTTAAAACAATAAGCAGCTATCATGACCGTGGGCAACCAAAAGTATAGAACCATCTGCGACTGTCTGCTGATGCACTCACCTCACCTACAAACCGCACAAACAGAGCAGGCCCTGTCGGTGTCGCTCAGCAACACTTGGGTATATGGTATATCCTATTACCAGGACCAGGGGCCCAGTACATACTCTGCTACCGACTACTGGCAATGGGACACACCCAAGATCAAACGTGCAAATCACCGAAACCCTCTATCTTTGCTCATGAAGGGTACAGTACACTGCTCCTCACTCTCCCGTTTCACACGTTTCCTGGAGCACCGAAGACTCGGACCAGCCATTCCGACTCTCAGAGGTGAGTTCCCACTTCTCAGAGGTGTAGTGTTTCAGTGTACACTGGAAAACCTCAACGTTTAGGACTTTGGGGCCAGGATGTCCGCCACAAACATGGGCTTGGACTTCCAAGGTACAGAGGTGAGTTGCTCATAAATCTATAGATCTATAGTTGATCGAAGAACTTGGATGGGAGTCGGAGCAAAATCAGATCTGCTCTTTTTTGTTCTTGGTTGGCTGGTGTGGTCGATCGATCAAGATGGTCTTGTTGTGGCATGGTCATGTGGGTCCACGGTCATGGGGATAGAATTGCTTGGAGTCCAGCGGCTGGTCCATCATCACCCGTTCGCCGTTCAATTTTTGTTTCATTCTTTTGTGGGGTTGAAAGGTCCTGCATGGGAAAGTCAGGTGATTGAAACTCTGCTTAGCTGTTTGCATTTTCACCATCAATCCAACAAAGATCCTCCCTTGAACCCCCTCCTAGCTTGTGCGCAGCCCTATCCTTCGGCGGCGGCTTCATCTTGCTCTGCATCTTCGCTGGCACCTTTCCCGCGAGGCGGACCATGTACAAACCTCCGAGGGTTCAGGTTCAATTGAAGGTTTGTACATCATGTACTGTGAGGCATGCAATGCAATGTAATATGCAAATATATGTTTATAATGTTTATAATATATCTATTTACTATGAGTTGTATTGAAGCATGTGTTCTATCGGTTTAATAATTGTTTGTTTCAGTGTACTGGAACAGTTGCTTACACTTACAAGGATGGGGTCCTTTGAACATGGTGTTTTATGGTGTTTTCAGGTATGGCGACTGTTGCCAGTCCCATGGAGATGGAAGGTCTGGGGTAGATCAAACATTTAGTTTCACACACAATCCCACCTGAGGTCACTGGACCCGCTTCCAACACTCCACATGACCCGCTGGCTGCAAACATGACGTGCCCACCGGCAAACATGCCGGTCGTTTGGAGTCACTTGTCACTTGTAACATATATTTTATAACTACTTAGTCACTTATCACATCTTATCACTAGTCACTTGTACCATCACTAGTTCAAACAAAACACTGCACAACCATAAACTAGTCACTTGTCACTTGTATCACTAGTTCAGAAAACTGCACAAACCATAAGCGAGTGGTGCAGACTCTTCCGCACATGTAGCTGAAGACACCGGGCATGCATAGTCTATAGTGGTTGAAACCAGGCCCTAACCCACCCACGATGCCCGAGCCCTGATTTTCTCAACGGGGCCCCGGTTCCTGTCGAACGAAGCCGATGAACGGAGCGCCTTCCCCGCACTTCGTTCTCGCTCCGTTCACACGGAACGCCCCTTCAGCAGGGAGAACAAACCAGTTTCATCACACCCCCAGCGGCGCACACCTTCACCTGGTTCCTGTGCCGACCCGTTTCCGCGGATGCACCGGTTTCCTTCGTGCCGACCGGTGGCGAGCGACCTGACTCCGGTCGGACGGGAGTGAGACGGTTCGTCGAGAACGGTTCGTCGAGAACGCCTCTTGTTGATCCCTCCCGGAGGGTGAGAACGTGTAGCCCGAGGCCTGGGCGGTCCCAACGAAGGAGGGACTGGAGGATTGACTGACCCACTTATATAAGCACCCATGGGATGGCAACTATGCCATTAAAGGGTATGATACATGGATGATCTGGTTTCATTGAAAAACCACAAAAGTTCCAGTCTTGTGCAGTATCTGGGAATGCTCATCTTCAAATCCCCAAGTCTGTCGCTCAAGCATAGCCAAAAAGGGAGAGGACCTTATTTATACACAACTATAGACCCTCATTGTCTAGGGTGTCGGATTTCACCTTCCAACATCGCCCCTCCCCCCCCAAAAAGCTGAGAGGATATATTCGGGTATATTTGGGGTATATATGGGTATATATATATAACTATATCCCATTACCAGTGACAGTGAATGATGATGATGATGGTGATGATGATGATGATGATGCTGAAGGAAAGGCCTTTCTCAACAATATGTTACCAACTATTATTACTGGTATTGAGCTACACACCAGATACTGTACATTGATATATGAAGCTACATGTAGGTTCATTCAGGAAGATCCTTTCCACTTGAACAGTTGTTAAGAATTTGCATGGCAGTTCAGCAATCCTTGTACATCTTACTGGCAGAAGCTATAAATTTGGATACAAGGTCATGGAAGCACCAAACTTCAGATTCCAGAACTTTGGGTATCCGGAAAACCATGACCAAAACCATATGACAGAATATGAACAACATCGACAACACATGCAATTTCCTTGATCACATTTTAGATTTCCTAGATTTCCCCATATACTGTACTATCTACAACAAGTGACTATGGTCGTCCTAAAAGACGTGATCTCATCCTTTCTACTCACTCGGCTCTGGGCAACCCGCACCAAGCACAAGAGCGCTTGAGCCTCGCAGTGAAAGCCCGGTGGGAAAGGGCATCGTCCCAGGTGATAGATGTGCGTCCCAGGGCTGTTCAAGAGTTAACCTCTGGATATACGGTAGGAAGTGAAGCTTGAAGTGCCTCAAAAGCTGAAGGGAAAGGATCAAGCTCACCGTATCGTGTTTCTTTTTGTTGGCAACATTGGAATGCATTATTACATCAAGTTCTCGCGACGATAGAATCGCCCTAAGTTTCTCAATGGACCTGTAAAATCCCAGTGGCCACTGGTGATGCTTCCTCCAAAAGGAAGATCTGCTGCGGATTGATCATTTTACTGGGATCGACCAAATCTCACAAAACCGCACCGGCAAAACACTGCAACCATCAAAACCCGACTTCTTAGCCCAAAAGCAGTTGCCTGGCAGCGCTGACGTCGCTCCATACTATATGCCGCTCAAAGTCTAAGCAATGCAGGATCATACGGATCCTGATCACATGGACCACAAGTCAAAAGATCCAAAACAATACATGCATCCCAAAACCACAAAAAAACCTACCCGACCCTGCGGTGAAGGAAAGGGGCGGAGTGTTCTCCTCACTTCCCAAACCCCCCCCTCTTCCCCCACCCAAAAGTGGTGTATTCAACTATATAGGAAGACCTCCCAGTTCAACTCCCTTTGGGACCATTGGAAGACGATGATCCTTGGCGACTGCGCCCCGAAGCGACACTCCACGACTCGCTTCGCTGATCGCGGGGGGATCGCCTCATTGGTCCGATCGTGGCGCTCGCGATAGCGGGCGATGGCCTGGAGCGACGACCGCCGACCGTCGACCGACCGAGCGAGCGTCCGAGCGTCCAAGTCTCCTGGAAACTGGTATGTTTGGGTATGTGTATTGGTATGGAGATTGGAATACTGGAGATGATCATTCCGTCTCATTCGTGCGTTAGATGTGTTTTGTGCCAAACTCATCTCCAGTGGAATGAGGCCCGATCTGTAAGGTTGGCTGACCTATATAGCTGGTGCCGGTCGTTTGCGGCATGTGGTGGACTGGTCGTGCGAACATGGTGGGTCATGACCCATCCACATGTGCAGGTCGACTTGGGCTTTGAGACCCACCCTTCGAAGGGTCAAGCATGGTCAGACCTTTGACTTCATAAGGCTCCAATGGAGTCAAACTTGGTCAAACCATGTCAAACCAACCCCTTATTTTCTGGAGGGACCAGCGGCTTGAGAATGGAGCGTCTGTGCTGGCACCAAATGGACGTATACACTCGGACGAACGGGTTCCATGGAAGTAGGTTGTGGGGCCTCCACAAAACGGTTATGAAGAAAACCAGCAACTATCAGTCGTCACATTGTCTCATTGCATGGCATCGATGCATCATCAAGTTTGCAACAATGCAACAAACATCTGTGGTTGCTCAGTCCAACATGTCTGGCGAAGAAAGGTCTGGCTGCAGCACCAGGAGCACCCAAGGTTGTTGGCATCGTGTTCCCAAACACTCTGTGTGTGGTGTCTATGCCGCCCCATTGACCCTTTTCAACCACCCAAATGCAGCTATGGTAAATAGGTCATACATGGAATCTCTGATTGAAATGGCAGGTCGCATCAAAGGTTCTTCCAACATGTGGTTTTCGGCATCTTACTTGGAACACCCCGAAATTCACCTCGAAGGATTTTGGGACACTCTTTTTGGAGCGAGTCCAATCTGGCTGAATCCCATTGCCAGCACTTCAATCCCACACAGTTTTTCTGACCGAAAAAGGGACACGTCTGTACCAGGGGTCGGTGCCGTCCGCACCAGGTACGACCACAACTCTTCGGAAACTACAATTCTGCAACTAAAAGGTGGTCTTCGGGACATTTTACGGCTTTACAGTTTTCTTCGGAAGCTAAACGGTTTTAACGGCTTGCTTCGGAAGAACACCTTGCGCAACATGCAAAATACTTCCTGAAGGTACCGTAGCCGTCACAGGGCACGTCAATATGCCCAACCCCACACCCCACGTGCTTCATTCATGCAATCTGGATGCAAGGTGGACATTCTGGAAAAATACTTTATGAAGCACCCAAAACACTTTCTGAAGATCGGGAAATAGATTCTGAAGCTCGCGAAATATGAAGGAAGGGAGGAGGTTCATTTCGGCTCATCTTGGAACACACAGAATCTGTGCGTTTAAGCAAATTCTGGAACACATGATTCCGCTCATTTTGGAACACAATCCTTTTCGCACTGTGGATTAGATTCCGGTGTTCGATAGAAGTTTGTTGATATGTAGCGTGCACGCGATGTCATATCGGTTCGCTGTTCTCGTTTCTTACGTCATTAGGCAGGCTACTTCTCTTGATCCCATAGATAAAAAGACCGTCACAAGACTCCTTCGGAAACTGCTCAAAAAGAATTTCATCTGGAATGCTTCAAAGTTCTGCAAATGATTCCCAAAGTTGATCTAAGCGTGTTTCGCGTTTCACTGAATATGCTCATCGCATCGCGTAGTTGAGGGAAAGCTCCAGGGAGAAGACAAGGCGCTCGTTGGCACGTCCTCTCTTCCCAGAACGACGTGGCCTCTTAGTCGCATGGCTTTGTTGCCATCACGAGGTCCCCACTTCCTTCCAGCCTGTGAGCTCCGTCCTCGGTTTCTTCATGCGCTGAAATCAGCGCTATGACTGATGACTCCTTTGGACAACGGCGCCTTTTTCATCTTCATCTCCACGTACCTATCGGTGGTTGCACTCACCTGAACCGCATGCCCGGCTTAAGAACCCCGTGGTGGTACAAGTGGATCAGCCGCGAACGGCGAAAGCGGCGTCTGGGAGTCGCTCAGCAAATTCTTCTGACTTTTCAAGCATTCTCCTCATTGCCTTGATTGCAGTTTTGGAGGTGGTCCAATGCTTTTTCACCATGTTCTGGTCCGCGGCGCCGTAGAAAAGGCGGTGATGATGTGAGAGTACACACGATGTGAGCCATGCAGAATTGGCAAAGATTCACGGCGCACATGGAACTCTTTAAGGCCAACATAGACTTTTTCGAAAAAGTTCAAGGAATACACCCTGGAAGACTAACATGGAACCTGAAAACCACAGGGTTGGTAGAGGAAAATCGTCTTCCATGGGACCATTGTCTGGGTCTATATTAGTTTTCGGGAGTGTAACTATATGAGAGGTGTATGAAGTGTGGTGTGTGAAATAAGGAACTTATGTTGGAGATGTCCACATTTAAGTTTACCCAATTCACCCAGGACCCAAGGCGAATTACTCGAAATACCACAAAATGAATGATTCCACATACCAAACATTCATGGCAACCATTGAAGTTTCCAAGGCCAACATTGAATATTTCCAAACTTTCAGGGCCAAAAGTGAAAGGTTCCAAAGCCTTGCCACAAATTCAGGGCCAACATTGAATTGTTCAAGACCCATAACGAATTAATCCAAATACCACAACATGAACTATTTCTAGAAAATGGTACATTACCTCAAACCAAACGCACAAGGTATACAACTTCTCATACCCATGCTTTGAGCTACGGTCGACTGAGTCGACTCCAAGGTCGTTTCCAAGATATACGATCGCATATGATGGCCTAAATATATGGTTGGTTGATGACAATGGCCTCGCAGGTACGACCGCAAGTCGGGTCCAGTTATGATCGACTCTCCAGGCTGAGGTTCTGGGCATCCTCAGCCGTCCAAATGGCACGCCAGGGTTCGCCACTGGCGATCTGTGCTCGGACCTGGGATGGGGTTGGAGCTGTGCAACGAAACTCGCTTGGATTCATTGACAGAATAGAGAAAATCCATGTATGGAAAACTGCTGGATGATCGGTTTAATTAGTTTGGGGCCTATTACTCAACTGGAGTAGTCATTCCCAGGGTTGAATAAAAGGTCAATGAAAGCAGCAACCAGACTTAGCATTGACCCACTGAAACAACCCCAATTGATCGGGAGTGCCACTCCCATTGGCTGTGTCTGGGAGACCACTCATCATGGTGACATAGCCGTGAAACCCACGTGGCGATGGCTCATCCTGATGTGTGTATATTGTGGTATGGTCATATATGTTAGCTAAATTTTAAATAGGTGCTCAAAAAGCAGGCTGAAAGTAGGG